ATCACCAAATCGGCAGGTGAATTCATGTTGGTGAAAATTAACAACTGTAAAGGACTCAACAAAACCAAACTAATTGTTGACGTTTATAGGTCTCCATCACGTGACCCCGATAAGTTCATAGCTTTACTTGATTCCGTACTATTAAGCTTAGACCGTCACAACAGAAAACACATAATGTTTGCTGGAGATTTTAATTTAGACCTCATAAACCACAGCAACAATGTACATTGCCAAAATCTAGTGGACACCATGTCGAAATACGGTTTTTTTCAGCTTGTTGCACGACCAACACGAGTTACAAGTCACAGCAGGACCTTAATTGATCATGTCTACAGCAACGATGTTCAGCATACTCTCAGTTGCAATGTCCTGACAGTTGACATTTCAGACCATTTTGCCACCTTGACTACGATCTCTCTTGGTGATTTCTCTTACAGTCCTGCTAATGATCGATCCAAAACCGAACGATCACAAAAGCGTGATACACGTGCATTCAACGCCGCTAATAACTTAAAATTTTACGAACTGATCGACGCTGAAAATTGGGAGCAAATAACATCAAACATGGATGCTAATGAGCAGTATGATAAGTTCAACGAAATTTACAACAAGCACTATAACACCGCGTATCCAATCAAATCTAAGCATGTCAGAAGGATGAATGAAAGGAAAAACCCCAAGCCTTTTATTCTGCCGTGGCTTGAAGACGCGTGTGCTCGAAAAAACTTGATGTATTTTGAATCCACAGTTTGCCCCACACAGAAAAATGATGCTACGTACAAAAAATTGAAAAATTTTTGTGAAAAACATATCAATCTAGCAAGGGACAAATACCACAAAAAATACTTTGAAGAATATCAGTACAATTCCAAGAAACAGTGGGAGATGATAAATAAACTTCTAGGCAGGAAAGCTAAGCAAAATTCCAAATTCAAATTGAGGAGAGATGATGGAAACTTGATAAATTCGAACCGCGATGTTGCTGAACATTTCAACGCGTACTTTGCTAATATAGCAACTAGAATCAAAGATCAGATCAGTGCGCGTACCACTTTCGACCCTGGCGGGCATGCAAGATATTTAGACAGCCAGGTTGAGGAGAGCATGTTCATCTCGCCAACTGATCCTGTCGAAATCCAACGAACAATATGTACCTTGAAAAATAAGGCCACACAGGATGTAAAAGTTGAGCCGCTCAAGATTGCCAAGGATTGTCCTAAGTTTTGTGGAATACTCTCAAATGTAGTAAATTCTTCCTTCAATGAAGGCTGCTTTCCGACATCACTGAAAATTGCAAAGGTAGTTCCTATCCTTAAGGGAGGCTCAAAACTGGATGTGAAAAACTACAGACCAATATCATTGCTCTGCACCTTTTCAAAAATCTATGAGAAACTCATGCACAGAAGAGTCCTTGACTTCCTGGAGCGACATAGCACTTTATTTGAAGGACAATACGGTTTTCGGCCGGGTCGGTCGTGTGAACATGCGCTCCTTGATGCAACCAACACGATTAGACACAACCTCTCCAAAAAAGAGGTCTCTCTACTCCTCCTACTTGATTTTAGCAAAGCGTTTGATGTAATTTCCCACGATATTCTCTTAGACAAACTGTATCATTATGGCATAAGAGGACTAGCACACCAATGGTTCAAGTCTTATCTAAGTTCCAGGAGTCAGTATGTTTCAATAGGGGGCACAAATTCTTCCTCACAGTCCATGAGACACGGAGTGCCGCAAGGCAGTATTTTAGGACCTTTACTTTTCATAATATATATCAATGACATGCCAAAAATCAAATCGTACGCTAAATTTGTTTTATATGCTGACGACGCAAACATAATTATCTCAGGTAAAAATCATCAAGAAATACTACAAAAGATGACCGAATTTTCACCTTTATTGATAAACTGGGTAGATCAAAATGGTCTTTCGTTAAACCTTAAGAAAACGTGCTACATGCTCCTCTCACCCAACAGAACCTCAACACCTGACGTAAATATTCAAATTGCAGGCACCACTATTGAGCGAAAAACTGAGGCCCGATTTCTTGGCGTAATTGTTGACGAAAAATTGACCTGGACCAGTCACATTACTGCTCTTAAAGCGAAAATGATGCGGTATATTGGTATTATGTACAAAATAAAAAGTCGGCTGCCGATTAAAGTTAGACTCCAGATATACCAAAGCTTTGTACAGTCTCATATAAACTATTGTTCATTGATATGGGGTTTTGCTGCAAAAAGCCATATAGATGCTTTATTCAGCAAACAGAAGCAAGGAATAAGGGCTATTATGCCTGGCTTCGTAAACTACTACTTTAAGGAAGGTGCCTTACCACAACACACAAAGCCATTTTTCAGTGAACATGAAATTCTCACTGTGCATGGTCTTATCGTTTACAACTCAATTATCTTGATGCATAAAGTTAAAAGCATGCCACAATTAGTCCCCAAAAACATCTCTCAAGCTTTTCCCGTCGACATACCCACAAAACTTTCTGATCACACGTCAGCCTGCTCCTGGCTCCAGTTATACGGGAAAAGACACTTTCAAAACAGTATTTTCTACAAGGGACCACTGCTCTCTGTCTTCGCAGACAAAGCAGACGTTACTACCCTTCCGACATTATTTTCGATAAATCTGTTCAAGAGTAGTGCCAAGAAAATGCTTCTTAATCTTCAAAGTGATGGTGATGTTAACGAGTGGCAACCATTCCTACTGCACAATGTTCCTGGCCTAAGACAGTCTAGACGTGAAATTTAAACTTTTAACATTTAACCTGAATCGAATTTCAACTGAAACGAATATAATCTAAGTTTAAATTAAGTCTATTGTCTAATTAATGGCTTGCAACAGGGAGCAGTATGAAAATCACACAACCCAGCACATAGAAACTACACTAAATGACACAAATTTAAATGACAACTCGCAATTACTGACTACCAATATAATAACCGCTCGCATAACTACCCCCACTTAGCGTAGATAAGCAAGCATTTCACTGCCGCTAAATTCTTTTTCCATACATTAATCTCAATCGCGCACTCATAATTACTGTAAGCGCTGAGTTACCGGCCAAAATCATTAATCACTGATGGTAAAATTTTGCACAAAATTTTAAAATCAATAGTCCAAGCTGTTCAGTGCAATTCTAAACTTCTTAACCTATAGGTTATGGATGTGTAATATCATGTGTAGCGTGAAGCGTTGTGTTTTTTAAATCTGTAGTTCATAGTACTTCATGATCACAGTGTACTTTTTGATAAACCGTGTGCAGTGCCCTTTCCAGAGGGTTTTTTTAAAAGAATTCTTTAACGTTACTATTTTCTATCTATTACTGTTTGTATTATAATTTTGAGTAAACATTAATCGAGTAAACCGCTCGATTCCCAATCAAAAAATCAATCAATCAGAAATACTCCTAAATCATGCGGATCTTCTTTAAGGGTAATTGATGTTAATGCCCAGAATTTGTTTATGCCAAAAATGGCGCGATCAATGATTTCTGCAGTCTACATTCACAAATTACAGAGCATTCAACTTGAGGGTTGCATTAACTTTTTATGTTCCTTGCGAGCTTTATCATCTAACTTTGCGAAGCACACTTTGTGCACGAACACCTGAGCACCTTTTTATATTTATCACGTGACTATCGATTGTCGTTGTGATTGGGTATCAAGCCGCTCTTTCAGGGTAGTCATTACGTCACAAATATTACATTAACGCTAATGCCCGGATGGTCTTGAGCCCATGTCTCGAGTTTCTATTTTGAGCCTCAAGCATTCGGTTGAAGTGATTTGTTCTTTGCTGTTCTTAGCCTATGCAATGACGTTTTTTGACATCATGAGACCGCCTCTAATTAAATCGAACAGCTAATCTATGCTAAATGTTTCTTGATTATGACTCGACTATTTACATTTACTTTTTCAATGACTCTTACGAAATTTATTTGATTTGCACTTCAAAACGAGCTCAAATAGATCTCAACACGGGCCTAAGTGGGCTGATGGATTTAACTGTTTGGAAATAGTAAACAAGGATCCTACTTCCTCATGCGCTCTCACAGAATGTTATCAACCCACCGCATGCGGTATCTGTTCACCAGGAGGAGAAAATCCCGGAACTCGGTTCCCTTCCTCTCTTCCCGCTCTTTAGATGGCATCTGGGAGAAAACTAATGGGGCCTTAGTTCTCTTCCTGTCCACGTCTTGGTTTGTATTTACTGAACTAGTATTCTGTACCCTGGTTATCAGTCGATATTAAATGTAAAGTCAGTCAGCAATCTGTGCTGAAAGTTTTGGACGAGTTTCATGATTAATTGAGAATGTTCAATCAGACATTCCATGCTTTCAACAAATTATAAAACTTGGCACCGGGCCGATCTAGAGGCCCAGAATAACTCACATTGAACCAAGTTAATGATAGGTACCACTCACGTGATGCACTTAGCAGATGATCCCCAGGTCTGCTTGATAATACCCCACTGTAATAGGATCTAACATAATAGCCAATAAACGGACGACTTAGCCGGGTTCCAACCAATCAGAACACTGTATTTAATCGGTTGAGTAGGAACACTTTCAAGCTTGTCAGGTTCTGTAATTAGCTCTATTCAGTGTATTGGTTGTGTGTTTCCTGTAGAATCTGACTAGAGTCAGTTTTGTTGGGGGGTTTTGCGCCAATATTAGTCATGGTCCGTTCTAAAGTTGAGCAGCATTATTTTGAGTAAGTCCTGCTTTTCAGTTTAATTCTCTTAAAATTGGGTATTGGTCCAGTACAGGCTCCAGTACAGGCTCCAGTACAGGCTCCAGTACAGGCTCCAGTACAGGCTCCAGTACAGGCTCCAGTACAGGCTCCAGACTCCAGTACAGGCTCCAGTACAGGCTCCAGTACAGGCTTCAGTACAGGCTCCAGTACAGGCTCCAGTACATGCTCCAGTACAGGCTCTACGACCGCATTATTTTAAAATTATTGACCACTAATCAGTCTTATGACCCGCAGCTCAGCCAGTTCGGTGTGCAAGAGATCAGTACAGTTGATATCTCTCCTTCTTGTTGTGATGATCGCTGTTATCGTCTCCTACAGTCCTCCGATACGTCCTGTTACTTTCAGGTTAGTCCCGGACGTTTTGTTAATTGGAAATTTAGACTTGAATCACCAGATTTCATTCGTATTCTAGAGAAATTTTTAGGTGTTTTATTTACAATTAAAATTATTTGTAGTTTGTTCAACTTGTTCTTAACGAGTTTCCATCCCCAGAATGCCACCAGCCCCGAAGCTCACTGGACCACTAACAGAAAATAACAGACTCAGATCCACTCAACAGATCCTAAAAAGTAGGATTGTTGGGCCTGAATCCATAGCTATAGGGTCAGATGGTAAGTCAGGGCCCCGTACCTTCAACAGTTCGTGATTAATATCATTCTTTATTTTTTTCCTAGGAACAGGGCTTACGAGAATCGTATCAGTATGATTTGTGCAACACATATATCACACTTCTACCACAAACCTACCGTTAAACACCCTCCCCTTTACACAGGACTAGCTAACAAACACCCCTCCCCAGGAACCCTGTACACAGGACTAGCTAACAAACACCCCTCCCCAGGAACCCTTTACACAGGACTGGCTATCAAACACCCCTCCCCAGGAACCCTGTACACAGGACTAGCTAACAAACACCCCTCCCCAGGAACCCTGTACACAGGACTAGCTAACAAACACCCCTCCCCAGGAACCCTTTACACAGGACTAGCTAACAAACACCCCTCCCCAGGAACCCTGTACACAGGACTAGCTAACAAACACCCCTCCCCAGGAACCCTTTACACAGGACTAGCTAACAAACACCCCTCCCCAGGAACCCTTTACACAGGACTAGCTAACAAACACCCCTCCCCAGGAACCCTTTACACAGGACTAGCTAACAAACACCCCTCCCTAGGAACCCTTTACACAGGACTAGCTAACAAACACCCCTCCCCAGGAACCCTTTACACAGGACTAGCTAACAAACACCCCTCCCCAGGAACCCTGTACGGGGGGGGGGGGGGGGGGGGGTAATGACTACTTTTGGGGACTTGGGGAATTACGTCAACGATTTTACCCCGAGTCCCCATGATTTTTAGTCCCCATTAGTCCCCAAAAGTCTCCATTAATCCCCATTTAGATGATTTTTAGTCCCCATTAGTCCCCAAAAGTCTCCATTAGTCCCCATTCAGATTTATCCTACTCTTATCTTGGACAAAACATCTCGATCGATTCGTGATTAAACTAACCTGAAAACCATAAATAACTGTCAAAAATTCTGGGGACTTATGGGGACAAATGGTGAATTACGTCAACGAGTTGACCTCTAGTCCCCACGATTTTTAGTCCCCATTAGTCCCCAAAAGTCTCCATTGTTAGTCATTACCCCCCCCCCCCCCTGTACACAGGACTAGCTAACAAACACCCCTCCCCAGGAACCCTGTACACAGGACTAGCTAACGGTAAGATAGTGTCAGTACGGGGTAAAGTGATAACAGAGATAGGCTACACTGGTCACGTGCATTGCTCCAGTGAGGAGACTTGTGGGAGACCCCTCGGGGTCAGGATCCACAATGAGTCTCTCTATGTCATCAACGCTTACAAAGGTTAGATAAGTACACGTTTTTGGATTTGCGTTACCTGGTTTAATTGGAATTTATCTGAGACCAATTGCATGGCTATCTTTTTTATGACAAAAGATCTGATCGTTTAAGATTCCCTATTTGCTGCGATTAAAAGCTTTGGTAATCTGAATTTGGTTATTTTATCAGCTCTAAATATCTACATCTTTACAGGAATACTGAAGGTGTCCCTGAACGGTGATTCGCAACAAATGTTAGTGAATATGAAGGACGAATCTATACGTCTGAACAACAGACAAACCCGCTTTCTAAACGATCTTGACATATCATCGGCCGGTAAATTGATAACAATAAATTTTTTAAATCAGTAGCTGGAGTCAATCTAATGAGTTTGATGTGTGATTATCCCGTTCAGTTCATTTTGCGGTTATAAAATGTGCCAGATCTGCCGGTCTCAGACAACGAGTTGACTAAATAATTGATTGTTTTCAGCAGAAAATATAATATGTAAATAATTTCTGTAGAACTAGACTAGTAGACTTCTCTTCCTGCCTAACCTGCTGTATCAGGTGTTATCTACTTCACGGACTCGTCATCACGACACTCTCGAGAGTACAACATCTACGAGTTCCTGGAAGCTGGTCCCCACGGTACTCTCTTCAGTTACAACATGTTGACTCACGAGATTAAAGTACTGATATCAGGTCTACATTTCCCTAACGGGGTCCAGTTAGCACCAGATGAGAGCTATGTTCTGGTAGCAGAATGTACCCGGGCTCGGATTGTCAGGTACTGGTTAAGGGGTGAGTTGACAGGAACATGGGACTATTTCGCTGTCAACCTACCCGGTTATCCTGATAATATCAGGCGGAGAGAAAGTGGAGGGTATTGGTTAGGTATGGCAGCTATTAGACGACACCCTTTCTCCCTAGTTGACTCCCTAGCTCCCTACCCTCAAGTCAGAGCTACGCTCACTAAAATCCTTCCTTATTTTCTCCTCCGATCTCTGGCCTCTCAGTACGGTATGGTTGTAGTATTGGACGAGTTTGGGAACATAATGGACTCTCTCCAAGACCCTGGAGGTCTTGTCATACCGTCCAGTTCAGAGATTGCCGAACATGACGGCGTTCTTTACATCGGGTCTTATTATTCTAGTTTCATCGGAAAACTCCGGCTCAAAGACGAGTTTTGACTCTTTAGAGCAAACTGCCATTAACTCACAGACAGATGAAGTCATTCGTAGCGGCGAACTACTTATAATTCATATTCGTGTCATTACATGTTGGTATAATTGTTGTTGACAATGAACCTATAATATATATAATGGGTTCCAGAACCGATAAGAGGTATTTTTAAGAAGAACCAGGTAAGACTCCTGACAAAGATTACCCCCCACCACCTGGCAGGATACGGGCCCGGTACTCTCGTAAATGCGGCGCTGCTTTAACGGCGACATGATTGCTAATTAGCGGCGATTAGCGCCAATTAGCGCTATTATTAGTTCTGATATCCTCGTAATATGGAAACGAGCTTGCGTTTATCCTCCACGGATGTTGTTAATCATTTACGAGCGAATCTTGATTTGTCCGGCTGTAGGACTAGTGGTGGGTTGTTTCTCTTCAATAGCTTTGCTGGCAGTTTTACTGATCAGAAGTTTGAATAATGTATTGTGATTGATGTTATATTTATTTTTATTTGTAATTTATATTAATTTTATTAGTAAAATGTTGATCAGAAAGATTTTTAATCCGTTCTTTTCCTTGTTTTAACTATCAAATGTTTACGATTCAAATCACGCCTAAATGTAATGAGTGACGGATGTTGTCTGCCTGCACAGTGCACTCAGCCTGCACATTCGATCACAGATCATATCTAAAAAAGCTTTTTCCAAACGGTTGAGCCAATTTTTTACCCATTTCCTGATCCGACCATTCGTGCCACACCGTATAATTACAAGTATATGCTCGGCTAGAATAAAGTTTAATTGCAAACAGTAATAAACTTTTAACCGTTGAACCGGCTAGGTCGCTAATTCGCTCTCACATCTTTCACACACATCTTGTAACTCATAATTGAGAGTTGGAAGTTTCCCCCGTTACTGCTTGCTCGTTATAATATGTTCTGGTAATTATGCAGCTGCTCTGAATGTAGGTATTTAACCGCTGTCTACCCCTCACTCCCATCATCTTGGGTTTAGCGTGTGTCTCCTAGACTAAAATACTAAGTATTAGGTGTGTCTCCTAGACTAAAATACTAAGTATTAGGTGTGTCTCCTAGACTAAAATACTAAGTATTAGGTGTGTCCTAAGTCCCTAAGCTAAAAAGTTTTCCCTTTCAGTGTAGACACATCTCTACATCATTGATATTACACTTTACAGATGGGGTAGGGTTATTTGTCGTAAGGCTGAGGAATATCAACCTGTATACTTATCCTTTAGTTGGAGCGTGACGCTAAACAGAGTATACACTATACAGGCCAAGGAACATGTTTATTTTATCTTTTCTCAAAGAAACATAACTGTATTCTGTAACATTCATCTGCTTTACACCGTTTCATGATATCCTCTGTTCCTATTTCCACTGAGGTGAGCTGATTTTCATCTTGATACTGAGTAGGGTTATTTGTCTTATAGTTATAAGCTAGGTGGTACGCATTGTCTCCGAAATAATGTTAAAGTTTGACAATAACTATTATTTGTGGACAGATATCATTAATATTCGTAATGAATTAAGGTAGGTTTAAAAGTAGCTGAGCTGCTTCAAATCTCAGTTCAGTGTGTTACTTAGTGTCTCCTCAGTATGTTACTTAGTGTCTTCTCTCTGCTTCTCTGTTATAATTAATATCAGTCCACATTATCCCAGTCTCAATAGCTACTGACTTACTGAGTACTGAGGCCCCTACTGAGGCCCCTACTGAGGCCCCTACTGAGGCCCCTACTGAGGCCCCTACTCAGGCCCCTACTCAGGCCCCTACTCAGGCCCCTACTCAGGCCCCTACTCAGGCCCCTACTCAGGCCCCTACTCAGGCCCCTACTCACTACTGAGGCCCCTACTCAGGCCCCTACTCAGGCCCCTACTGAGGCCCCTACTCAGGCCCCTACTCAGGCCCCTACTGAGGCCCCTACTCAGGCCCCTACTCAGGCCCCTACTCAGGCCCCTACTCAGGCCCCTACTCAGGCCCCTACTCAGGCCCCTACTCAGGCCCCTACTCACTACTCAGGCCCCTACTCAGGCCCCTACTCAGGCCCCTACTCAGGCCCCTACTCACTACTCAGGCCCCTACTCAGGCCCCTACTGAGGCCCCTACTCAGGCCCCTACTCAGGCCCCTACTCAGGCCCCTACTCAGGCCCTACTCACTACTCAGGCCCCTACTCAGGCCCCTACTCAGGCCCCTACTCAGGCCCCTACTCCCCTCACTACTCAGGCCCCTACTCAGGCCCCTACTCAGGCCCCTACTCACTACTCAGGCCCCTACTCAGGCCCCTACTGAGGCCCCTACTCAGGCCCCTACTCAGGCCCCTACTCAGGCCCCTACTCACTACTCAGGCCCCTACTCAGGCCCCTACTCAGGCCCCTACTCACTACTCAGGCCCCTACTCAGGCCCCTACTCAGGCCCCTACTCAGGCCCCTACTCACTACTCAGGCCCCTACTCAGGCTCCTACTCAGGCCCCTACTCAGGCCCCTACTCACTACTCAGGCCCCTACTCAGGCCCCTACTCAGGCCCCTACTCAGGCCCCTACTCAGGCCCCTACTCAGGCCCCTACTCAGGCCCCTACTCAGGCCCCTACTCAGGCCCCTACTCAGGCCCCTACTCAGGCCCCTACTCAGGCCCATTATTATAGAGGCCCTTCAAAACCATTATTACTTTGTTATTCAATTTTTTCTGCAGGGCTCCCTGTTGATGCGCTCCATAATTTGCAGGCCTACTTTCCTGGTCAGTATAGTAATAGTACTAGTAGTACTTATAGTACTAGTATTATACAAATAATACCCCAAAAATACATGTTGCATTTAGCTCTTGCTTTTTATCCGTTGTACGTATCTTTTCCTTAAAGCTCTATCCAGTATACTGGAGCCAGTATACTGTTAGCCATGACTGGTAATGGCGTACAGTTACAGAAAAATTCTAATATCTCTGAATTCTGATAGTCCAGCAGGACCCATATTTCCATGCAGGACCCACATTTCCGCTAATACCTTTGTCCAGTAATAATAATATTCAGCCAGTGCTGCAGTGCTGTAGGCATTAAAAGGTTAGGTTAAATGTCTATTTAATTAGTATTGGTCAATATTTATACCCAGTACGCCCTTTTGTTTGCCATCCCAATAAAATGAACTGAGGGAGACTAGATGTGTAATAATATTACATTACATGTGTAATAATATAACATTGTAATCTCGTAATGTAACGAGTGAGTAATAATAATTGCACTGTTATGAGTTATATATTTACCGCATAGACTTAGAGCACGGGTGTTATATCTACACAATATTAAACGCATGTAGCCGGCCCTTCTAGCTCCCTCTATTTTAGCCCCTTGACTGTATTGCAGACTGTACCTATGATGCGTTGGATTATTAGGTCCTGCTTCTTTTACCTTTTATAGCGTTGTATTTTGTCAGGCCATTTCAATTTCATCATTGTAGATGATCATTGAGGGTGCTTGAATGTCGCAATATGCTTTTAATTTCGATTGGATTTGACTGAAGCAGCTACTGGAACCGCTAGCCATCGTTTTCACAATACACAGAAGTATTATATATACAGTGGAATAGTGGCGAGTCTGAAGTAATAATATAATATGTAAATATATAATGATATATAAATATGCAGTAATATATAATTGTAATTGTACTAAGACAGTGGTGGGTACTGGGTAGACGATGGGTCCACTGTTAGGACAGTGGTGGGTAGACGATGGGTCCACTGTTAGGACAGTGTTGGGTAGACTATGGCCATGGGTCCACTGTTAGGACACTGGTGGGTAGACTATGGGTCCACTGTTAGGACAGTGGTGGGTAGACGATGGGTCCACTGTTAGGACAGTTGTGGGTAGACGATGGGTCTATTTCCGGGCAGGAAGTTATGTTGAGTGTACTTGTTATAGAATATAATTATAGTTGTTATAGTTATACTTGTTATAGACATTACACACCTTGTTATAGACACCTGACAATTGTCCACTGGGCCCTGGTGGCCGGCAATGCATTCAATACTTCCTGTGATGTCAAAGATATATTTTATATTCAATGATGATTCATGTTGCTCCAGGGCCATTTTGACTTGATATAAAGCATCCTTCCAAAGTTAGGTCCAATCCGAAAAACATCATTACTTGTGGACAGTGGGCAGTTTACGCAATGGCCAATAAATTATTTTACCACTTCGACCTCTGCACTCGTGCTCTGTGCTGGTTTTTAATTTTTTGCTGTGGTTTGAATGTTTATTTAAAAATAACAAGTCAATGGCCAATAATTTATAAAATAAACACTTTTTTAATTTGACTACTAAAACCTCGTCCTCCTTGACGAAAAAAACAGTTTGCTCGCCATGCTTTATTGCTTTTGTAGAGCAAAAAAACTTAGGGCTGACCAGGTTCTGGTCAATATCGAGAGCGCTGACTAATTTTTATAATTATATCTTTTGAAAAATCCTGCAGGGCAAACGGCCACTGCAAAATGCTTTTATTTACATTTACAATGAATTACGGTATTCTTATTTACAATGAATAAGAATAGTAATACCGTAATCCGATAATTTTTTCTCCGAAATTTTACCAATTCTTGTCTTAAATCTCAAATATGAAGTCAGAAATGCTTTAGCCTTAGCATTTTACAACATTTGACGAAGACTTGCCTCTTTCATCAAATTTGCATTGTTTAATGAAAAATCTATTCCACGTGCTTTTATAACAACGTATCACGGTCTTCACAGTGTCTGTGTTTAACGTAATGCAGATAGACATTGTTGAAAATAGACAATGTTATAGCTTTGCCTTAGTTTGAATATAGCTGCCACAAGCACGAACCAAGATCTAAATCGCGAGAAGGTGAGTAACTACCTGCAACTCAATAATACTCTTACATTATGATTAATATTTTGTATCCCTCAAAGACAATATTCAACAATCGACTGACATGAGGTTTGATACTTTAATTATGAGAGTTTCACGCACGTTCTTATTCAACAACTACCACAATCCACATAATGACTTATTCTACAACTACGAACTACCACATAATCCATTACCATGAATACCTGGGGACACAGGTAATGATCATGTTCATAAACATATAGAAACATATAGAACGCCGAATAGAGATTCGGCAGAATGACAGGCTGAGCGCCGCCCAGTAACATAATCCATTAATCCACATATTGATTTTCAGATTCCTAATGTTACAGTTCTCTCACTGATTAATAGGTTGCAACAGCTCGTTCTCTGACCGCGACAAAAATATTATAATATGCAGAAGGTCAACCGACATAAGCCGACATGAGATAAGATGATTATCAACCGTTTCTTATCTTGTCTTGGGGATGATTAAGATTTTGTCTGTTTTATGCCCAGAAGTACTAATAGTACTACTATCTTACTATACTACTGAAGTTGCTTGTACTGGTCCCTAAATAATTAATGATCATGGGTAGACTATGATATTGTGTCTCATGGTGTGGTAGAAAGTTTAAAAACTGAATCGGTTAAATTCAGTTTTTAATGTTAAAACTGAATCGGTTAA